TATCCGGCAAATATATCTAAGAAAAAAATACATATATACATATTAACACGAGACTTCGAGAAAATATTGTAAGAGAAAGATATGAATGAAATATTATAGTGTGTAGTTATAAAATATAATACGTATATGCACAGCCATTTTGTGCGACTGAATCGAACCACCGAACTATATTAATATACGCAAACCGATAAAGTACATAAGATTTTTGTAAAATTATACAATGTGACGGTTTTACACTGAATTTCATAAACTTTTCGAACTTAAACTTTTGAGAATTTATTTGACTTGAATACAAACGCTGTTTTAATAGTCTTATATATTTTCTGTAGTGACTGTAGTATATATATTTATTATTTTTATATAGGTATTCAGCATGTTCAAATATATTATTATTTACACCTAATTACTAATATCTTTACTGAAACTTAACTTTCTAATTTTCACCCCAAGAAAGAATTTTTAAGAAGTTCCACTGTCTAGGTGATATTATGTGATCGTATTGAGTGTATACTTATATTATAAAAATTAATATTTTAAATATCACAAATTCTTCAGAGTATAATAATAATAATAATAATAATTTAATTTAATTTGAAAGGTCTCAGAATATGATACAGCCTTATAAAGTATACTATTAGTGCGCTAGTTAATCGCATGTAATATGTACTATGTCGTATGCATCAAATAAGCAACCACGTTTGATTTCTTTTTGAAATAAAATCACCCATTCTCATGTAGTTTTCCGAGCCGTCGAAAATTTCAAGGCTCGGTAGGCAATTTTTTTATAGCGTCACATCACTCTGCTAAATCAATAATTCGTTTAATATGTATATTAAAGACCTTACTTTTTAGTGAATTACAACACAAAGAATGTAGTCCAAATTAGAAGTGTGCACTACGAATTTGAAAAGTGTTTACTAAAAAATAAAGTTTATCTTTATTAGGGATATATAAATACATTTTGAAATTAATATCATATTATCATATTTTAAAAACAATCGGAAGGTCATCGCTATTTCTGGAAACTATACATATAGTTAATTTTATATTAAATAAATTACGTCTAATCTTTCTAATTTTAATTCTCATTTAACTGTTATAAAATGGTTTTCTAACAAAAAAAAGCATAATAAAGTTCATTTGCTTGACTTATAATAATACTGGTATGAAGGTTTTATTCCAGGAAAAAAGTCTAAGCGAGACCACTTATGAGGAATCAAATTTAAAATTTCCGCAAAAATAATATAATATATAATGTTTTGTTAAAGCGTTTTTATTCGTAAATAACATATCCTTATGCCGTCATTTGTCGTCGTTTAATATTAAACTGCATCCTGCAACCCGAATGGTTAATTATAATATCGTTTTCGTAAAACAAGCGTAATTGGATAACACGACGTATAATAAGCATATGTGTACCCATACATATATATATATTGTGTATAACGACTGTCGATAATACCTACGTATATAATAATTATAATAATAATAATAACCGCGTAGATTTACACACGAGGACCGCGTCATTAGGATATTGTGCAAAGGGGTCAACGAAATTACCTCTAACAAAGTCGTGATAAGTAAAACATAGAACAAGGACCTACATGGCCAACATAAAAATATAATGATAACATATTAATATGAATATGTGATACATAATGCACATATACCTATATATGTTTATATTAACGCATTACTTATACCTATATTACTACAATGATCGGATTGGGTGTGGAAAGATTAGAGGATAAGATGCGAGCTGTCATAAGTCCCTCAACGTTTATCCATTTGCTTGAGTATTTTTATCCCCTTCGTATATCATAGATTTTCTCGTAAAATATCATTACTTTATTATTATTGTATAAATATTAAAATTATTAATTCACGTTAATATTTTATTAGTTGTGTTTAAAGATTATATAGTTACTTCAAATAATAAGTAGCGTTTTGGTAAAAAAAAAAAAAAATTAAAATAGTGTACTATTAAACCGTGAATTTGATTTGAACAAAGTCAAATCAGTCTGCAACCAATAGTTTTTATTGAATCATAATCATAATTATGAACCATGAACAACATTTTAAATTATATATGATAATTTAGATAAACATCATGTAAAAAATGTAATATGTTTATACATCGATATAAATTACTTTGCAGATATTTAAACTGTCACACACAATTATTAAAAATGCATGTAACCGTTATTGTTGATTATACTCTGAACATATTTAGAAGGTTTCTTTCAACAAGAATAAGTCCAAAGTCCAAAGTTATGGAATTAAAATATTATTGTGACGAAAAAATTATTAAAAATTCTTAACAATATATTATGAACAAACATCTGAACTATTTCGTGAATAATTTGTTGTTATAACAATATACATGTTGCTTTCGTGTTGTTTATGTGATAATTGTAAGAGATAATGTTGTTTTATCTGAATCCATAGACCATTCGTTAGATAAGACTTATATTATTATAATTCAGCAACAGTAATAAACAATTTTTGAGTTACCCCGTATATAATTTCTTATTTAAAAACTGAAGAAAAAACGGATTATGTACGTTTTTGATTGAAAATAAAAACAAAGATTTAATATTTAATGATTACATTAGTAGCTGCAACTATACATAATATACGTTTAGATGGTTTAGCACACTTTATCCACGATTCAACATTGCTCGTCGTCGATTCGGTTAATTCGGCTAATGTGCAATCAATCAAATATATTGTATATTTTGGTTCTAATGACGGATATTTTAATTAATTAATACAACGATGTCATACATCGTTTTTCGTCGCATTGTGTTTACGCAATCAAATTAAAAACGACCAGAAAAAAAATGTAATTAGTCGTTTGAGTTTTGTACGATCAATATTCAACACTATATATATATGATAAATTATACACAAATAATATTTTTGTTATTATTATTTGTGATATAATATATCGAAGGAAACGAAAAATAATATAAAATGTTTACAAGTCCATCATCGCCGGCCTTGGCTTAGGCTAAAGATATTCATTCCCAGGGTGACATTAGCTATATCATATCACTGAGTATTTTCGATACTTCTCGTATACGTACAATTTTTTTTCCTCTCCCATCCAATACATACGTATACGCATTTCTTACCCACCCTTCCTACCATTCCCCCTGTCATGGTAAAATCACGATACTATATAGCTCGTTGTCGCACTTGACTCATCACCCGCCTGCCATCCTCTCTACATAATATAATATACCTGTATAGTCCGTACGCTACGCAAGGTCGACGGTTAATGATGTTAGATTACCATTTACACGCACTACCGTGTTACACACACGCAAACACACACACACACACACACACACACACACACTGGCACGCTCACTCAATCCAGACTGGTCTCCGATACGGTTTTCGAAGAATGATGTTTTCAACGAAAACACGGGAGGCTAAGCTGACAAAAACAAAACACAATATACGCGATACGAAATTAATATTATAATGTAACAACAAAACAAAAAAAAAAACTGGCGTCGTTGTCCGATACTGTGCGGCGGCAGTCGAGTGTCAAAATAATATTATATATTATTATATATGTTTACACTATACACGATATACCTAACACGTCCACGCGCCTATACATACCATCGTCATATTGATGTACATGCTCACTCGAAGAGAGGACACCAATGCCGGTTTATCGTCATCATCGTTATCGACGTTTACTATATACATATACCACGTTTTCGATAGCAGCAGAAGAAGTCAGAACAGTGACGATGCATTATAAGTAGTAAACTATATCATATAATATCGTCGCGACGTCGGATTAAAATGTATATACAGCGGCGGGGTGCGAAATGAACACAGAAAACTTTAACGGTGGTGCACGACAATCGTCACACGAGCACACGTCCTAGAGCGCAGGAAGATCCGTCAACGAAGTAACGTGTCGAACGTTAGGTCTTGCGACAAAAGCGTTCGAAATATCGTTCTAATCGATTATTTCTTACACCTCGACTTTAACAATATTATATATTTTACCAAATCATAACTAAGTATACACCAATCGACACACAAAACTACGTTCCAGTACTCGTTTATTCACTTATTTTTGTTGATGAAGCGATTGCTCTTAAAAATTTCCTCCAACATTACCGACCACTAGTATATTATATAAATATTACCGCCTCTATCTACGTACATATTAATTTTTTTTCGCGACTAAGATGGCTGAATGCCTGAATCGATTACTTGGTTTTTTTCGTTTCAATTTTTTATCTATTTATAAGGTTAAAATCGAGTCAGTTTTAGAAGAAGAAACGGTTAAACGGTTAACTCGGCCTACACTGCAATCGAAATTTCTAACATAATACATAGGTATTCATTTATTATATTTTAGATTCGATAAAACGTGTAATAAATTTAAATTGATTTTCGTTTCATATTTATTGTGGAGGTATTAAGGCTTATGATCAAATGTTAAGATAAATGCCTATATAAAACTTAATTAATCGATATTGATTTGACGATTACTTCTAGTCTTAAAATTATACGTTAAAAATTAGAATATTAAATTTACTGATCAAAAAATTTTGATGTCGACAACTAAATCATCAAATATCGTACAGTGTATCTACAACAGAGAGTATCTAACATATAGAAAGTAATTATTATAATCAAAAGTGGTATAAAGAGCCACTAACATGATTTTATATAATGATAGTCTTTTGGTATCGATAAAGCCCCACTACAACCACCACAAGATTTGATCAAGTTATGAATATATCATGCCAATAATATGCACACAAAACATTTAGGTATACGTATGAAACAAGACGGATGTATAGTACTACCAATATTTACAATAAGTGCACGACCAATAGAAACGGTCAACGGCGGTAGTCCTCCCCCCCAAACGACACCGTCCAGTGCAGCGTCAATGCGATCCTCGAGTAGCGCGTGGCACTAGACACCGCGACATCGTCACTCGTCAGTCTACAGGACACGCCGCCGATGCCAATACACCGTCACCCCAGCTGAACCTCTACACCTACTTCGATTATTTTTACTTTAACGATTACGACTACACCAGCAATACACTTTTCGTCATGGACATGAATTTTGGTACATTGTTGGACTTGGACCGCGATCAACACGACGGTAAGCATATCGCAATTTATTGTTCATTTAATATAAAATATCGTATTGAATTATAAACAATTTTGGATTTAATTTTTTTGCGAAAAGTTAAGTATCTACGCGGGTAACGGGGTGACATATAAATGATCTTGTAGTCGGCATAATTAATAATCAAACAATAAATTGTTGTTTTACTATAATATACTATAATAAGGGAGTATCTAGTATCAGATGAAATAAAAAACTACTTTAGGGCATTTACATTATTAAAGGCAGAGATTTTGTATTAATTATATTTTAAATTATTGCATACTGCATTGACATATTTTTACCTTTTTTGCCAATGCCGTTGTTGATTATTATTCAATAAGTATTTATTATATTAATAACTTAATTTCGCGATTATACCTAGAACGGTTTATGTATAGTAGAAACTATATAGTATTTACTATTTTTTTCTCGGACATATGTTTGTTTTGTAGGTAATAAAAATAATTATTCTAAAAAATAAAGACTCATGAATAAAAAAATAGTTACCCAGGGGCAATAGTGAAAATATCTGTTTATATTATTTTTACTCAATAACCCCAATATTGTGTCACTATTTTTCCGACACTGACGCGTGAATAAAAACAGTCTGCGAACACATCGTACTCGTGGGGTAAATATAAATATAATTACAAATATAATTACATACGACTTGAAAGCTATTTTTTTTTATTCTCTATCTTCTTTTCAAATGTCAGTTAACAATAATTGATTTGATGCGCAATTTAAAATTAAACTGGCAAAAAAAATTCCACAAAGAAATTGTACAATATTACTTACCAATGAAATTTCAATAAATTATTGCTATCAATAAATACCTACGTATTATAACTTCGAGAGTTGTAAAAGCCAATGTCTAACGATTTGAAAATAAGTTTGGATAATGTTTAGTTTAGAGGCCGGAAGTTCTGTACATTAAAAACTATTGAAATGTGCATGCAATTTAAGCGCTAAAATATGCCATTACATTTTTTTTTTAATTTTTAAGTATAATTAAAATCCTTTAAATACTAAATTTTTTATTTTAATTTCTTTTGCTAGTACCTAATTAAAGGTATTACAAATAGAACTAAAAATGTATGAAATATTAAACGAATAATTAATTACATTAATATTATTATTATTATTAGAAGTGCAAAAGAAACGACGTTTTAATAAAGTGCCACCCCTAGTCCCCTTTAAATACGTGTCTCTTTTTAAGAAGCGTGGGGTAGGTCAAGGTAGATACCCCGTACGCGTAGACTCGTCGTTTGGGTATCACCTCCTATTACTCCTATTACCCGCGTATCAAAAACATCGTTCGTCCCCCTTCTCTGGGTATGCGCCATCGGAATCGCGATTAAAATATTAATAAATAGTGTAATGATAATATTAATAATAATATAATAATCATTTTAGTCGTCGTCATACTACATCGCGTGTGCGATCATTTCTATAGGCAATAATAACAATATAATAATAATAATAATTATTATTATGATAAACGATTAATGATGATGATAATAATAATAATAATAATAATATTATAACGCGAGCACGTGAATTTTCAAGATAAGTATTGCGCTAAATTTAAACGGGATTTCGTGTATTGTGCTTATCCAGACTTGGAGCCCGCCGCCGCCGCCGCCCCATCGTCGATCACGGTGATCGTTTCGTCGAGCAACAACAGCGACAGCGGCAGCAGCAGCCGCAGTACGCCGTCAAGCTTTCCGCCGGTCACTGACTACGGCCATCAGCACCGTCGCCAGCAGCAGCAGCAGCAGCAGCACCACCACCATCACCACCACGTCCAGCTCGGCGCCGTCGACGTCCACCGCCACCAACGCGACCGCGACGACCGCCTCGACGGCGTGGACAACATGCACGCGACCCAATTGCCATCGTCGGCCGTAAACGGATACGACACCATGATGATCGCGGGATACAATTACTGCGGCAACGCGGCCGCGTACGATCCGTACAACGGCTACACGCAAACGTTCGCACCGCTGCCGCCGTACGACGGTAAGTGTCCGATTGTTCTTGTTGTTGTCGTTGTTGTTTCCACGTGCCATCGTTACGACGGCGTGATGCGTGTTATGTGCTTTTATCGCGGGCGCGCGACCTTTTCGGGAATTTTTGGACTTATGCATTTTTCCATTTCGGTGTGTGTAACTCGCGCGAAACACGCGCGTGCCGTTCAAAGGCCCGATGGGTCCGTTGCCGGCCAACAATAATTTCTCATGGCCGTTGTCGTCGTCGTTTTAAAAACATTTAACAACGGCCAAGCGCGCGCCGTCAGCCGATTTCGCCGAAAATACAATATTTTCGTTCCGCCGAGAGCCCTCCCCCCCACCTCACGTATACCGCGGCGGTTTTATTTTAAATCAGTTTCCGTTTCTACCCGTGTAGCAGTTTACGAGAAATCGTAGTATTCCCATAATTTCGTATTGTACACTTTCAGACGATATTATTATAATAATATTATAAATTTGATTAACTTTTTTTTTAGCTCACACACGTGTACCTGCATGCGGTTCACGGTCAATGACCAGCATTTGCTTACGCGTAAATCGAATGCTAAATTCGGGACCGAAATATAATGTTTATAAATAATCTACCTGCAGACGGCATTGAATCGATTCGTATATTATTTATGTATTGAAAATAATAACGAGCGGTGCACCTGTTAATTATTATTATTGTACAATATCGTCGTCAACAAGCTAGGCGGCTCAAATTCGTCGTACGTACCTACGTACACAAGGCCGCTCGCAGTTATCGTTTCCTTTCCGTTCATAATACTTTTGCACTCGGCGATGCTATTTTATTTTTGCATTTTTATCGTAATAAAGTGCAAAAAACGAATGTAACTCTGTACTTGATGGCGCTCTTGCATATGGACGCCCATAGGGGGGGGGAGATGGGGCATTTGCCCTCTCCTGCAAAAATAATATGATCTTATAATAAATATTACAATTATAGATACTATCTAATAACCTAAAAAGCATACAAATAATGTTTTTCTTTATCACTACGGGGATTTGAAATAAAGCACACATATATATATATATATTATATAGTTGTATTGACGACTTGGTAGATACACGCAAGATTAATCGCAAATTAAACGTTTATTCAGTTGAGATTTTAAGATTTTGACATATTTACCCCTAAAATTAAATCAATGAGCACCCATGCTCTTGCACTAATTGTTGCTTCTGTGCGGGTCACTCCGAATTTGAAAAAAAATTTGATAAAAGCATGAACAATATTACAATACTAAATCCGATATTTGTTTCCATCGTCTGTCGACAGTTATTACATAATAAGTGAGTAATAATGATGCATTATGAAATTTACGGTGTGCGTTCTATGGCTTTTAGAGACTGATCTTTTAATTTTTAAGTTACGTTCACACCACACGCCATTTTCTCGTGACTAATTCTAATAAAAAAAATTTACATTTAAGATTATTTCCATTGAAAATAAATATTGACAATTACTGAAATATTATATATATTATATTCGTGTAAGGCAATAAATTCGACATCCGAGTACTATTACACCATAAAATATTAAAATATGTAATACGTTAACGTTTATCTAATATTATAATATATTATGATAAAATCACATTAGCTTTTGTACAGCGGTTCCCAAACTGTGGAGCGCGCCTCTTCTCGGAGCCTAAACGGGAGAGGCACAAGGTAAATGTTGACGTATACATTTCACTAATATGCCTAGCATTATACACTAATGAAAAATTTTGTTTCATCTATTGAATGGGTGCGCGATTACATTTTTTTTATTTTTGGGGATTCGTGAATCAAACGATTTTGGAAACCGCTGGTTAGGTTTAATTTAGATCGACTTTCAATATTAATAATTTGTAATATAATACTTGGACTTGGAGTATTGTAAATAATTGTGTATTATAAATTATAATATTCGTCTATTTCGGCAGACATTCGTAACTCCGCTCCGCTGTTGCCACTCTTGCACCCACAGCAACATATGCAACAGCAACACGGACCCGTGTTGCTCGGTAGCGACGAGATGCAGACCGCCGCGGTCAGCGTGCAACGTAAGCGGGAAAAACAAAAGCGCCAGCGGACAGCTTACTCGAGCGAACAACTGATGCATTTGGAGGAGTCGTTCACGGCCAATCAATACTTGAACAGAGCCAGGCGTATCGATCTGGCTCGGACGCTTCGGCTTACGGAGAGGCAGATCAAGATTTGGTTTCAAAACAGGCGCATGAAAGAGAAGAAGTCTAAAAGGGATTCCGGTTAGTATTTTATTATTGTCAAAGAGCAGGGGGGAGGGGAGATTTCGGATGGGCTAAACAAACCTGGTGACATTGGCGAATTTAGAGCATAAACGATTCTTACAAGTGGTATTTTTTAAGTCTTATTATGTTAATCAATGTATTTTATATCTACTGAATAGTTCGATCTACGAATCGCTCCGAAAAAACAACGTTAAATAAAATTTTTTATTAAAATTATTTTAATACTCTGTTGGAGAAGCGAATACTGAAACGCATACCCTCCCCGCCCACGTGGCCGAAAATCGCACGGTTGTCCGAGTGTCATATTTTCAAATCGTTATGTCGTAACAAATGTTTCGATAATCACGAATTTTCTGAAATTAATGAATTAAAATAATAGGTGGTCGGGTTATTGGCGTGTTCATTGTACATTTCTACCGGTATACAAATAAGTGGTCGCGAGCTAAATTTGCGATCGAATTCTAAGAAGATTTGTCCGCGTGACGGCTATCGTAACTGTGTACTTCTAATTATAACAACAGTGTACATAGTAGTGTAATATGATATTATCATTATTATCGTCGTACACGTGCCGTCTTCCCGTATAAGTTTATAACCATGGTAGGCGGATAATATAATATTATATCCGTTCGCGATATATTTGTTTTCCTTTCGATTTCTCCGAGAATAACTAATTTCGTTCCGAGGTTAATCACTGCCAAATGAAAATATGCATAAGGTTGTGTAAAAAACCCTTTTATGTTAAAGGGGAATTTAATTTTCCTTAAAATATATCTGAACCAATGTGGTGTGCCCATTGCTTAAAAGAATAGCTTTCAGATTAGTTTTGATAAAAATTTTTATTATAATCTGCCTGATTTTCAAATGACCAACCTGGGACATGTTAAATGACCATTTTCGAGAATAAAATGTGTATTGATAGCACAAGCAAATTTAGAATTATTTCCCTACATGTTTTGTTTCCCTCACTTAATAAAAAAAAAAAAAATTAGTTTGATTTCATTTGAATCTATAGATCTGACCATTTCCACATTGCCCAAACCCGCGTAAACACGCCTATGATTTGATACATTATTGTCACTGTTGTTTTTGACATTATCTGTTATGTTAATAGACGACAGATAAAAAACGATTAGATAATGATTAATAAAATAATTAATAATATTAATTTAATAAATAGTTATAATGTACGGGCATTGAGGCATTTTAGTAGATAGTTTAATGGTTTAAATCAGCGGTCACCAATTAATATTTTTAAAAGACTACATTAAGATTGAAAAATTTCGCGGGCCATCAAAATTCTAAGTACATATTTTTAATATATAATAAGTATTATTTTAAAATTGGATGTGATGAGAACATGATTTTTTTTTATTCGCTATTGCTTATTAACATTAAGAACTTAATTGATATTACAATTATTTGATTAATTTGAAAATAAAATTAATGGTAAATATAAGTACAATAAAAATAGAAAATCGTTTAGCGATATCACAAATATTTTGAAAAAAAAAATTTTCTTTGTCCGCGGGCTGGTTAAATTTGTTCGCCGCCCATGGGTAAGTGGCCCGCGGGTCGCTATTTGGTGACCTCAGATTTAAATGATCAGTATCACCGTCCCTGTTGTTCATCGTCAATTGTTCTATATGTTTTTTCCCCGTGCAATATTATGTACTTATTTCATTATGCTAAACACTCGGAATCCAATCTCGTCTCACGGGTGCTGCGGTATCGCCACCCCAGCATCCAGGATTCATTACTTTTGACGAATTTCAACCCCTGCTGTGTCGTGCAACACACTTGACTCATCGGGTTGTTTTCGTGTTCACCAACACTCCAAACTTCACCGAGCACAACTCATCGCATCCCGACCTCTGCACTTTATACCAAAAATGTGCTGTAATTTAATCGCGACAATATTATTGTTATCATAATGTAATATTCTCTCGTCCCCGCAGGCCAAGTGGAATCGACCAGCGGCGGAGTGACGGCCATGACGCCGGTGTCCTTGGCTGCGATCAGCGGTCCGCCGCCGCCGCCGCCAGCGGTGCCGGTAACCGTGGCCGGTTGCGGTTACGGCGCCGGTCATTACGCATTGGACAACGGCTGCTCGCCGCCGACGGTCAACATGCCGATGAAGTACAGCCCGTCGAGCACGTACTCGACGCCGTCGCCGCCGGGCGTCGTCGCCCAGCACCATCACCAGCGCCATCAGCTCGCCGAACATCAGCGCCCTGGACCGTCGGGCACACTGCACCACTTTTCGTCGTACTCGGCCAACATGTACAACGGAGTTGGAGGAAGCTCTTGCACGATGCAGCCGCATCCGCCCACGTACGAGGAAACCGTCAACGGGCAACATCAGTCCGTTCCGCTTCCGCCGCAAGTGCACCTGCACTGGTATCCGACTTCGGTCATAGCGTCTCACGACTCGGCCGCCGACGGGTTGCAGTGACTCGTCGCGCTTTTGACGGCAACGACCGCGGACAGTGCGAGTGGCGTCCGGGGAGAGGGGAGGAGGGGGCGCCTCGCGCTTCCGATGCGATTTCCACCGGGGATCGAATCGGAAGCTCGTCGGACCTCACCAACTCGTTTTTTTATTTTATTTTGCTCTACACATTTTATTATTTTGATTTGAATATTTTTTTCTATTTTTTTTTTTTTTCATTTATTAATATCTTGATTCCCGATGTTTTGGCCGTCTGGACGACGACACGCTCGTGGGTATTTTAAACATCATGCTTGGAACTGATTATTTTAATTTTTCATCATTACTATTAAGTACCTACTATATTTGTTTTCCCAGTTACAATTATACTTTATACATAAATTTTATACTCCGCGGTATACCTATAGGTACTCTACGTGAAAATTAAAAAAAAATACTCGATATAATATCTTTACCTATATTATTACTATTATTATTATATACTATATCATTACACTAAGCACAAAATTATCTTAAGCACACTTGCATATTATTATTATACCATATCGTACACGAACTATAATGATATAATCTTCGAAATAAAAATGAAAAAAATAACCATAACATCATTATATATATATATACCATATAACAACTATATTATATTTATATTTTTTATTATAGCTCAGACTGTTTAATTTACTGTACTAACTTATACCTATGCCGATTTTTGTACTCTACATATTTTTAATCACCAAGTAAATATCAATATTATTATGTAGGTGTATATTGCTTTATTATTATTAATAACATTAATTATATTATTATTTTATGGAAAAAAAAACAATGAGATACTCTCAAATTGTTTTTTTTATTATTATTATTATTATTATTAGATATTATACTGTACAACGACCACACACGAGTTATGGATTTTTTTTTTTTATAATTAATGTTACATTGGTAGGTAACGCGTAAAAAACGTTTCGTCTAAGCGATTGTTTCCGATGCGGTTTTGTTTTATAAAAATTTAGCATTTTCAATCTTACCGACAATATTATATATTGAACTGTTACTTTGTACTCAACAATACTAATTTTTATACTTTTTTACTGTGTAGATCATCATTACAATGTTGTGTGTATACATTATATACTCGTCAACGTTTTTTAAAAGGAAAAATTATTTTTAAAATATTTTGATGTTTTTATATAATATTTAGTAGGTAAATATACACTAATAATACACATTTTGTAATATTTTTCTTCATATTTTTTTAATACTGATCAACAATCTCTATTAAGGCGGATAAATAGAAGACATATACTTGTCGTGTGTCATTCGTTCTTTCCTACATTTATTTAAGACTAATATAATAAAAATATATATCATATATCATTTTGTAAATGTGTATATTTTTCAACAATAATAAAAGCTTACAAGTTAACAAAATTAGTTTATTTTAATTTTTATTATTTTGTTATGAGTTATGACTTTAGATACTTAATATAATATGGGCAAAACGTGTATATTATTTTTGTTATAATTTCATACTCGAATTAAATGGTAAAATATTTTAAGACATTCCTTAACTTGGAATGATTTTTAAATTGTTTTACAATTATTGTACGTATTACAAATATCACCGTTTCACAATACTCAAATCGCATTACTAAATTGCTTTGTTAAATGTTTAGATTTTAAACGTATTTTATTTACTGTACATTTTTATCTTGCAGATATTTTTTTTATAATAATATATTGTGTATGACATATATGTATGAAAATGAAATTGTGTTCCAAACTACCTCAAATAATAGTTATATTTAAAATTCAAACTGAAATGTTATCCAAAGAAATATTTGTTTTATATTAGGTATTTAGATAAATTATATAAGCAGATGAGAGAAGGATGGTATTATAATTAAAACTTAAACCTAAACCAAAAAAAATAAATGGTTAACAATATGTGATAATTTTCATAGTTATCATTATTTATATCTGTGTAATACTACTTATACTATTTATTATACATACATTCTATAAGTTATTGTTGTTTGATACATACTTCAAATTAAATGAAAATGTTTTGTTTTTGGAAAAACGAAGTTAGCAAACGAAGAAACGTAAAGATCAAACTCAAAACCAGAAAGAACGTTATATTTTATATTTTATTTCGCAGTGGACAGAGACGTATTTTTTAAAACTTATATTCCAGATTTTAATACGAATGCGATGGCATGAAAAATTGTCCTTCGTTCGTCATCCCGCCACGGCTTTAACGATATATACACATATATATGACATATATAATGATAAATATATTACGGATCAAGTGTGTCGCCGACTGTACTGCTGCAGATAGGCGTAATATATTTAAAGACGTGGTGACCTCCCACCACACTGGTAAGAACTGAGTTTGAAAAATACGCATTAAGCGTTGATAAATATTTAATGAAAATATTTCGATTTTTTTGATCTTTGTCAAGCCGAAATAATAATCCCAAAAATTTTTGAAAATTTCATAAATATACGCCTGCAGTACGTCATGTCTCTGATACTCTTCGACGTAATTCATTTTGTAGAAAAAAATCATAATTTTTCATCGTAGTTAAAGTTGTTGATTGTTATGTAATACTATTTGTGTTTAACGCATTTGTTTATTAACATTAAGTAAACACGGTTTATCTTTAATTCTTAATTTGATTTTCTATTGATGTGTAAGACGTGTAAATATGTACAACGCGTCTACAATAGTTATTTTATTATATATTGCTGTCATACGAAAGATACAGGATCATAGTGCACGTTGAGTCATGAATCATCTACAAATTAGTGATTTATTTTTTTTGATTAAATTCAAATAAAAATCTTATGATTATAAATATGTCTTAATATGGTCGGTTATCACTGTTATCAGTAATCTAAATATGAATTAAATTTTTGTGAATCAAAATAACAAAACGCGTTAACAGAATACAAAATAATGTGTGTTTGTGATGTGTATCGTTTTATCGCAATACGAGTAATTTATTATTAATTCAATACATGAACGGCGGCATTTTTCGGCCGAGTATATTATACCGCTGTAGCGCCCGCGGAGTTATACCACGGTTGCTGTCTGCAGCGTACCTATACTACATGGACAGCGTTGTACACTTCAAGGCGGGGTTTTCGTTATAGACGCTCACGTGTACGTGCTTTTGATGGACAGTCCCCCCAACGTTTCAAAATGACCACTTTGGTATAACAAAAGCTTACCATGGATACCAACCAATCACAGCAAAGGATTTTTAACGTATACTATGGAAACCCGCCTTTACCTGGAGAACCCTGGGTTGATATTACTTTATCGGGTATTCGATAATTCGAGATATTTTTCATCGATCAATCTTCAAAAAACGGTCACCGCATTATTTTCTTCACGATCATATACTCTGAATCTCTATCGAACCGTTATTTCGTCGCCGTCTACTAGTGTGTTGTGTAAAAACGTTCAATTATTATAAACTGTTTTAGTGTGCAGTGCAATGGACATACCAGGAAAACGAATCTTGGGCGAACCACCATCACCTCTGGAAAGACAAAACGCGTTGCCTATTTTTCGAGGATATTATACGTCAGTGTAAGGTAATAACCCATATAAATCATCTATAGCTTTATAATTAACAAGCTGAATCTTTTAACATTAAATATTAATTATTTCGTAAACTATGAACGTTTTTGAAAATATTTTGTTTACATAATTCGAAATTATTAAAAACAACATTTTTGGAAAACAAATTTTCAAATGATGAGTGTGTTTAAAAGAATCAATATTATCAAATAATCAACAACATAACTCTATGTTTCATATTTTTTCGTAATTAGAATTTTATCTAATACACGTATTCACTCATAAGTCATAACTCATTGCTTGAGCGAGACACCACCCCCTTACTCTCAAGTTTCCTTAAAACTATAATAGCTATTAATTATTTTTTTAAGATTAAAAATTATCTCACACTGATAAGGAGAAATCTAAAACGAAGATTTGTTAGGTCTGTAATTTTAATTTACGAGTAAATCACACAAATTTTTTTCTTGTATATTTTTTGATAATACACACACAAATACACATTTGTATAGACGTATAGTACTATTGGTACTAAATCCATCTCTTGAGCTTACTGTTAAGTTATCATTTAGAAATTAAGTAATATATAATATCTATGCCTTTGATAAAAATAAAAATAGTTAATAGGTTTTATACCTTATTTTTGTATATATTTACTTACATGTATCATAGATACTTCTCAGCATTGCACTACTTAGATAATAATTAAATTGGATGGTTGCTTGCAAGATAATCATGAACTATAACCAAACAGCAAAATGTTTACTCATCAAAAAGTTATGTATAAATATAAATATATATTAATACATATTATTAAATAATAGAAATTAATTTTTCTATACTTATAGGCTATAATTTAAATCAGAGACAAAACGAATTAATTCGATTATAAGGTCGTAAAGTTGGTCAAATATCATACATGATAACAATTTAATGGTAGTCAGTTTTTTGAATGCGATATCTGATAGGGCCATTGGAATTAAGTTTCCTCCTTTCATAAAAATGTCTTGCATTACTCCTTTATATGAACACGGTTATATAGTTTTATTTGTGAAATTTAAAAACAATCTTGGTAAAAAATTGTTAACAGTTTAATCAACTTCTACATTAAATATATACATATAATATATATACCGATGGTTAGATTCATTGTAAAGTTACTATCGAATGATATCTGGGTAAGTTTTAGTGGTTTCTGCTGTATCAGAATTTACATCAAACGCTTGACTTTGCGTATATCATTGCACGTGCTTTAAATTAATTATAGACATTGTAATATGATACATTCTACCATCGAGACAATAATATAGTAGTATATTAACGCACAAAAAAGCAATAGAAAGTTCAAAGAGTTGCTTATACTATAAATTTAAAATAAGAATAAATAATATAATAACTATTATTCGTTTATAATGAAATTAACAATATTTTTAAATTTGAAAACAATATCTTAAAACTAACACCTACCTATTTGGTTCTGTGAACAAATTATTATTCAAAATTTAATCATAAACACCAAGGTTTAGATTCACTATGATAGTTGAAATCAAAATCGTCAAAAATATTACAAACTCAAAGTATACGACTTTTAGATTCATTAAAATTATAAGATTAAAAGTGAAATGATTTATAAAAGTAATCTTAAATGTGGATACTATAATCATTTTGATTAAGATATTTCCTATTATTCTTTTTAAATACTATCGCAAGATTAATTTTTATTTAAATGAAATTTAAATTCCAAGTTTTTGTCATTAATGATATTCACATCATATTCG